TTTGTTCTCTAGCATAAGATGGAATATGGAATCTACCCAATTTTTCTCAATTTGGTTTTCTAAAAATCGAATTGCAGGAACATATGATTTATGAATGGTGCTAAAATTACTTTTTCTTGAAAATATGACATGATTCATAGTATAATGAATTAGCCTAAGACGGACAAGGAAAAAATTGATGCGATATGAGATTCCAGATGAGGAGCCAATTAAAAGAGTGTGAGCACAAGTATAAAAATTAACTTCATTACAGTCGAGGAAATCTAATTATAATATTGCTCGATGAAAGGTATGTTGCAAATTCTTGAAAAATCAATCCAGAGTACCTATCTTGAGGTTTCTCAAAACAAAATCTCTCAGTCTTGCAAAGTTGAAAGCTTCCATGAATGCACAATCTTTGAAGATTTCCTCATCCAAGAAGTAAGAGATATACAATTCTCTTTCAGCATAATACCGATTGAAATTGTTCTCTTGAGCTTGTGTAGAGAAATCATCAGAGAAGTAAGATAGTCAATATTGGGAGGATCCAGTTCTTTTTAGGCCACTTGAAGGTGATGATGGACTATTGAGATACCTTAAATTTTTCTAAATCAATGCACAAGAGAGAGTAGGATGAGAAGAGAAGAATGAAAAAGTTACCTCTATATATAGCGTTTGCCCAATCGATTAGAAGGATGTGCCAATCGATTGATAACCTCAAAAATTACTAGATAGTTGTTGGAAGTAGCCGGTGCATTTTTTTCTCACTCATCTAGGCGTTATGGTGAGCTCCAACGTTTAATTTTGTGATTTTTGAGTTGATCCAATCGATTGGACGTTAGTGCCAATCGATTCGTTGTCCCATTTTCATCATACTTTGTTTCGGGCTTGTATGTCCACTCCTGTTTGGCCTTATTTGCACCCATTTCTATAAAACACTTGAAACCTTATCTTTTGGGTTAGAAAATAATTTATTAAGATGAGAAAAAATTTAAATTCCCTATTTTTAAGGATTAATAAAAGTTATCTGATAAACATTTTCCTTAAAGGGAAAAATAAATCATATTATGGTGTATCTTTCTCTACACATCATTGGAAGCGAGAGTTGATATAATCAATGAGATGAACAAGTCCATTAAAGATATATCCACTCAACTGATCACTAAAGATCGTAAACTTTGAGTTATTTTGAAAATGCTTGTTTTGATCACTGTGATTGATATTTTCCATCATCGTTCATCTTTGGATCAGAGGTTTCATAAAAATTGTATACTTGGAAGTATACTTTTGCTTTGTACAACTCCAGTGATAACTCTCTTAAATCTTCGGGCTACAAAGCATACTTGCAAAACACTTACAGTTTCACCTTTAGATCTTTTTAGTGTACAAAAAAATGTTTCTAAATGACCATCTATTTTATAATGTGTGCATTTATAAATTGGACGATTATTTTTCTTATGATCTATACCTTTACTGGGTTTTATATCCCTTTTGAATCTTAGTCCATTTTTGTTTAAGGAAGACCTTTGACTTGATAAGATTAAATCAAACTTTTCTTCCCCTTGGGTAAATTTACCTAGGGTTTCATGAAAATCAACTACTTCCTTTTTTATGGAGACATAAATCTTACATTATTCTCTTGAATTTATGATCTTAGTTATTTATATCTTGAATGATTTATTGATTTTTTTCAAGATATCTTACAAACTCCTTAAGACCTAGGTTGCATTCTCTCAGTTTATCATTTTCTTTCCCTAACTGAGCACTCATTCTAAACAGTTGTTCATAAGATTGTTTAGTTACATGATTTGTATCTACTTTGTAGGTTGCCTTTAAGAAAACTTCATCTTCTTTGTTGGAAGAATATTCTTTTATGTTTCTCCCTGACGTTGATGTCTCTCCTCCTTTTCTTCTTTCAAAGATTTCACTTAAAGATACTTCTTCTCCATAATTACTCGAACATGGGGTTCACTATAAAAAAAATCATTTTAAGGCACATAAGTTGTGATGGATCTTTGAAAACCACCCTCTTATGTGTATTACAATGGTTCCTATGGAGGTTTTTTGCAACTGCCCTTTGATTTAAAAAAAAAAAAAAGGAATTTCTTATTCCACCTCATGCTCAAAAGATAGACTCTATTGCCTCAACTCACGCTGCCGCCAAATCCACCAACATCAATTACTTTAGTGAATTGAAGGAATAGGGAAAACCATTATTAACCGGTTAGTTGTCTCAAATCCTAATTATCTTCTTTTTCATATTTGTATTTATTTTTGAAAAAACCTTCCTACTCCATTCACTAACTCATAAATTGCAGAAACTTTGCTTCTCCATTCACTAAACTTTAGATTATTCTTAATTGCATAAATCTTCCTTCTCTAGGCTACATATGAGACAAAAGGTTTGATATTCAGATGGTGACATGCTACGTTAGGGTCGACATCGAGCATTTTATTTAAGAGACTTGCGAAGAGGTTGACGTTAACTCTTAGGCACTTGATGAGGCCTCTCCATACTAAGAAGGTCTTAGTTAATTATACTTAGAAGATCAAATTAGATTTTCTAATAATATTTTAGAAAGTTACTAACCAATTTTAGGTGTATTTTTTTCTTTTCACCAAGTCTATACATTGTATAAGCTCTCATTTACTTCTCTTTTGATCTAACTAAGTGCCAATATTATTTTTTACAAAAATGTTTTTTTCAACCATACAAAAATGTCAATACAGTGACATCAAGTTTATCACCGTCTTAATAGATGAATGTTATAATATTTCAAGAAAAAAAGAGAACATAAGTTGAATATTTTGAAAAAACATCAATAGTTGAAGATGTGGTGTCTTTCGTTGAATGCATTGTTTTCCATTTTTTTAAGGGTTAAATATATAAGAGATCCTTATAAATATACGACCCTACAATTTTAGTCCCTTTAAGATTATCTTTCAATGAATGATCCTCACAAACTTTTTCGTCCTTGATATTGGTTCCTCCCGTTAGACTGGCATGCCATGTGGAAGACTATTTGGCAAGAATCTGAAAACATTTGAAATTGAGGAGGTTTTAAACCTCCTTTAAACTAACCCAGGAAAAAAAGAAAATATTAGTTCTGAATTTTTATGGAACACATTGCAAACAAGTTTTGCAACAACGATTATAACACACATCATAATGATCTAACTAGTTCTCTATAACTACCCATCCTTTTTCGGAGCATTCTCCTCTCTCTTCGCTCACCTCTTCCACACTCGTCACAATCTCCCTTCCCTTACTGTTCCTTTCTCTTCCGTCCCCTCCCTCGCTTTCAGCGTTGAAGATTTATGCATTCAAGGCCTTCAAACATGTTATCTTCTTGACTTTCTTCCTCCAAAGGAATTCCTTTTCCAACTTTCCCATCATTCAAATTGAAAGTTGCAAGTAGGTTTAATTGTAATTTTATTGTAATTTTTCTCAAATTTCATGTGATTTTGATTACTTTATAGGATTATTGGGTTTGATCATATGAAATCAGTGCTTACACATGTTCCTTCTGCAAATGAGTATCCTAAGAATGTTATGATTTATGTTAACCTTGACAAGAGTAGCTCTAGAGTTGTTTATTAATACTTTACCAACAAATGCAAGGATATTATAACTTCTAATGTAACTAAGAATTTTAATTCTTTTATTCCCTTTAATGCAACAATGACTGAGATAGAATGATGTTTGGATACTAGGGCTTGGTTTCAAATTTGGTGGACGAAAAAGATAAAGATTGTGTGGAGAATATTCTTAGGTATATTGAGCTTGCCTGATATTAAGCCCTTTAACAATGGAAGAGAATAAAACATTTCTTAAGTTGATTAGTTATTTGAAGTGACCATGATTAATACAAACTCTGAGCCTTTCTGTTAGACTGTCATAAAGTACTAATGCAAAATTTATGGCTATGGCATCCATCTATTTTGTTGCTTACTTGCTTTTATGTGCCTTGCTAACATTACAAAAACCAAAAACATTTGTATTTTTACTCTTTGTGTAAATTGTTGTCAATTTATCTCTTGTTATTATGTAATGGCTACATTTTTTCTATGCTTGAAAAAAATACGTATTACAGTTGATGGAATTGAATGTTGAAGAGTTAATTGCTATTGATGGAATTGAGTTAATTGCAAGCTACATCGAGAAGAAGAAGAGTTAATTGCAGTTGATGGAATTGAGTGTTAAAGAGTTAAATAAGTCTTGCCTTTGTTTTTGGGTTAGTTTAGAGGAGGTTTAAAACCCATCAATTTCAAATGTTTTTAGATTTTTGTCAAACTATCTTCTACGTGGAATGTCACATCAGTCTCTATTAGTAAAAACTAACAGGAAAGATCATTGTTTCGGACAGAAAAATTTGCGATAACCATTCATTAAAGGAAAATGTTAGAAGAATTAAATTTATAGGATTACATATTTATAAAGGCCCTAATATTAGCTCTTACACACTTGATGAGGCCTTTCCATATTAAGAAAGTTTTAATTAATTATACTTAGAAGATCAGATTAGTTTTTCTAATAATATTTTTTTAGAAAGTTACTAACCAATTTTAGGTGCATTTTTTCTTTTCACTGAGTCTATGTGCTGTCTAAGCTCTTATTTACTTCTCTTTTGATATAAGTCAATATTATTTTTTATAAAAATGTTTTTTCCGACTATACAAAAATGTTAATACAGTGATATCAAGTTGAGTAATGCTATTTTTACACTCAAATCTTACATCAATACTTACATCCAATACTATTCACTTTATTTATATTTTATTAATCAATTTTATTTTACCACTAAAAATTATTGTGTGTATGTAAATAATACTGTTCATAAATATATTTTTTATTAAAAAAATATTATTCATTATAAATACGATGAACAATGCATATGCGTAAGGATTAGTGTCAATTGTTGATTTCAACCTAGCATAGTTAAACTTGAAAAAGGTTTAAATTCTCTAAGAACATAGGAAACTGACATTCAAAATAAATAGATAATTGGTACTAACAATGACTAAACCCTAGGTATTAGATGAACCTTCAAAGGATTCTTCATGACTATTGTAAATTGCAGCTTCTCCAACAAATCAACCTCAATTCCATCCACATTTCTCCACTCAAAATTCCAAACAAAATTTGCAACAAAATACTCCAAGTGCAACAATGATAAACCATATCCAGGACACATTCTCCTCCCCGCCCCAAACGGCATCATCTTTATCTCTTTACTCCCCATTATATCAAAACTATCGTTATTCATAAACCTCTCCGGCTTAAAACTCATAGGATCATCCCAAGCAGAAGCATCCCTCCCTATCTCAGCCACCAAAAAATTAACCGATGCAAAAGTAGGCACCAAATAACCATTTATAACAACTTCTTTTGTTACTCTATGAGGAGCAACATAATGTAGTGGTGGATGACGCCTTAACCCTTCCAAAATCACAGCTTTAAGATAATGCATTTTTCTCAAATCTTCTTCTTCAATTTCCTTCTCTTCTTTATCACCAATCACCCTTTTAATCTCTTCCACAAGCTTTTCTTGTATATCTTGGTACTTCACCAAATTCGCCATGATCCATTCTAATGCGGTTGAAGTTGTATCTGTTCCCGCGTTTAGAAACTCGGAACATAATGTGCAGATTTTACCATCATCAAGTTTAATCTTTTTATTATCTTCCTCCAACAATTCCAAATCCAACAATGTATCAACATAGGATAAAACAAATTCATCATATGGCTCATTGACATTGTTGTCTATGTCTTTACTTAATCTATCTTCTTTGATTTTTCTTCTAGCGTTTATATAAGGAATCAACAAAGCTTCTTGATCACTCCTCAGCTTCAAAAACTCCTTCCATCGGTTCCGAAATAATATCTTTGTAATTTGTGGCCAAAAATTTAAAACATTGTATCTAGAAAAATTAAGAAGCATGACACGTTGACTTTCTTCGATTTCTCTTATTTGATTCTCATCTAGTTTATCGCCAAAACACATGAGAGCCAACAAAGAGAACATGCCATATCGAAAATGATCAACGACGGAAACATATTTATTTTCGTGCGAATCATATTTGAGACGTTGTAGAAGAATGTCTAACATCCATTTGCGCGCTTGAGCATAGGATTTGATTTGTGAAGGATGGAGTATTTTTGAAGTGAGGTTGCGTCTTAAAAGGCGCCAAATGGGACCGTAGAAGCTGAAAAGGATGTCATGTTGATTGCTGCTAATTATTTTTTTTGTTGGTTCGGCCTTAGGCCGATCCGCGAAGATGGTGCTATTTTGAATTAAAGCTTGATGTGCTAGAAACCTATTTGCAATGAAAATGTCTATGTGAGAACCCATTTGAAGAGTAAAAATTGGACCATATTTGGCATTAAGATTTTGAATAAGGGTTTTTGGATCCTTAAAATATTCTTGTAGCAAAGTGAAGGTTCCTATGAAAGGTACTCTTGGAGGTCCTGGAGGTAGGGGAGATTTAGGGGAGATAAGTTTACTTATGAATCTGAGAATTAATGAAAGAATAAGACACAAAATTGTTATTACTAACCAAGTTTCCATGCAACTATGTGGCATGTAAACTATTTTTTGTTCTTGTAATTTTGTTATGTAGGTTTAATTTTACATTGGTAACAACACAACATGACTAAGAAAAATACATGTGGGAGAAACTGTTTATGTTTTAGGATCATAATTAATGAGATTTATATAAGATTTTGATAGATCAATACTTTGTCCACGTTATTTCTCTCTTAACATTCTATTATGTTACAATTTGTAAATGTCATAAAGAAAACAATGAATTATAATGAAGTTTTACATGAGTAACTGCAACGAAAATGTAAAGTACAATTTTGTAAAAACAAATTAAATCTAATTTTTAGTTTTAGTAAACAACTGTGGTTTGAAAGAAGTTTAAGTTTTTTTATAAAAAAATGAAACTATACTAAGAATATGTAATGATAAACAATTCATGAACAATGAAACTGACAAGTATTATTAAAAAGAAAAACAAAGAAACATACAAGTATTATTAAAAGAAAACAAAAGAAACTTATATTTAAAATTTAAATTCATTTATTGTTATTATAAAAATAGAAAAAATTAACATGTGCCTCAAGAATACAAGTTAATAAGTTATTTGTAAAAATATTTTATTGGAACGCGTGTATTTAATATTTTAAAATTTTAAATATAATTTTATTATATTTAAATTTTTCTAAATATAATATCCTTAATATATGTTCTAAGAGCTCATGTTGGCTAGAGGTGGTAAAACGGATTGAGCCCGCCGAATTGACCCGTTTGATCTGTCTTTTTTGGTTGGTTGAGCTGAGGTTTTCGGCTCGGTACTTTAAGTTGGCCCGTCCCGCCTAACCCGCTTAAAAAAACGGGCCGAGACGGGATGGAGCGGATTTTCTCCGCGGGCTTTTTGTTAAAACTTTTACTCTTTTTATTAAGAATTAAAACAACTTTAATTATAAAAACAACACTTATCTCTTAGGATTGTATTATAAATTATTATACAAACAAATTGAATTATAATTGTAACGTTCTTTCGATAACTTTCTAATACATGCGTTGAATGAAAATGATTGAAATAAAAGAACAAATGTATGACATGCATAATTATTAAGTTTTCAACATATTAGCTCAGATATTTTCTTTAGAAATAGATGTTGATTTTATGAAAATGATGAATTTGATTAGTGTATACGTGTGATAAATTTAGGATTTAACTATTAAAGAATCTGTCAATATAAGAGTCTATATAATGTAAACAATGAGAAAGTTCGGTGTTGATATTTTACGTATTACTATTTTATACATTGTGATGTTTTATGCAATGTTATTGTTATCATTGTTGGTTTTGTGTAAATTCTAAATTAGGTTCTTTTATTAGTTAGTTTTTAAATAAGATTAGGATGATATGTATTGTTTATTTATTTTGATATTTTTTATTGTGTTTGAGTTTTTTTTTTTTTTGTAATTGGTCTTTATTTATTAAATTTTTTGAATTGTTTTACTACAAGAAATGTGTTCTCCAACGACATAAAGTTGTGACGTGATTATCACGTGGCTAAAAAAAAGCAGTTGCGACGTGATAATCACGTCACTATAAATTTATATATTAAAAAAAATCAACATAACGTTCAGCTGCAGAGATTTTTTTTTTTTAATGAAATTTGTTGCGACGTGGGATTCACGTCGCTACAAAAAAGTTAAAATAAAATAAAACAAAAGTTGTAACGTTCAGATGGAGAAATTTTTTAATTTTTTTAAAAATTAAGTTGTGACGTGTTTTTCACGTTGCAACTTTTAAGAGGGAATTTATTTTGTTTTGACTACAAGTTACAATCTTTGGGCAGAGTGGGCGAATATTTTATGACCGTTAAGTGTGTTGCGACGTGAAAATCACGTGGCAAGGTTGCGACGTGATTTTCACGTCGCTACGTGGCGTATATCTCCAAATCTCAGTTTCATTGTTTTACAGTTTTTCATATTGTTATCACTTCTTCTTCTTCCTCTGAGTTTTCTATTTTCTTCTCCTCCTCAAATCATCTCAAATCTTCCATTAAATTTCTTTAAAATTTTTCCAAAGCTACAATTTTATTGATACTGGTAATTATATTATATGATATAATTTTAATATGTTGATATTATTTTGTTTATTTTTTATTATATTTACTAATACTAATTTTTGTTCAATTTGTTTTGTCAAAATTGAAGAACATTGAACAGTTTAGAAAAAGATTGAAGAAGAAGATTGTTTGAAGGAGATTAAAGAAGAGGTTAGAACATTATGTTAATTTATAAATTATTTCAATTTTTATATATAAAATTAATATATATAATATTAATTTTAGTTTATTCTGATTTTAGTTAATTTTAGTTTATTCTGATTAATATACATAATATTAGTTTATTTTAAAACAGAATTTTAAAAAACAGAATTTGAAAATATTATTTTTTAAATATATAGACTAAACTTTTTTATATATATTTTATAAGAAAAATAAAATAGAATATTTAATATATTTATTAAATGTTTAGAATATATATATATATATATATATATATATATATATATATATATATATATATATATATATATATATATATATATATATATAATTTCAAAATAGTTATGAAATTTAATTATAGTTACTATAGTTAAATATTTATTTATGGTTAAAATATAAATAAAATATGATTACATTTTATATTTCTTAAAGATAATATCTTTGTTAAAAAATTATAGTTAATATATATATATTCAATGTATTTATAAAATGTTTAGGATATATATATAATTTCAAAATAGTTATAAAATTTAATTATAGTTACTATAGTTAAATATTTATTTATGGTTAAAATATAAATAGAATATATTATATTTTATATTTTTTAAAGAATAATATCTTTGTTAAAAAAATTATGGTTAATATATATATTCAATATGTTTATAAAACTTTTAGTGTATATATATATATATATATATATATATTCAAAGATATTATTCTTTAAGAAATATAAAATATAATTATATTCTATTTATATTTTAACCATAAATAAATATGTTTATATAATGTTTAGGATATATATATATATATATATATATATATATATATATATATATATATATATATATATATATATATATATATATATATATATATATATATATATATATATATATATATATATATATATATATATATATATATATATATAATTTCAAAATAGTTATAAAATTTAATTATAGTTACTATAGTTAAATATTTATTTATGATTAAAATATAAATAGAATATAATTATATTTTATATTTCTTAAAGAATAACATCTTTGTTAAAAAAAAATTTGGTAAATATATATATTCAATATGTTTATAAAATGTTTAGAATATATATATAATTTCAAAATCGTTATAAAATTTAATTATAATTACTATAGTTAAATATTTATTTATGGTTAAAATATAAATAGAATATAATTATTTATGATTAATATATTTTTTTATGGTTAATAATAAGATAATGATTGTATAAATGTGTAGTATGGAATATTATCGGTATGGTCGTAGTTGGATGTACGATAGATTGTATTCAGGAAGACGTGCACTTAAACTCCGTTTCATAGAAGGAGTTAATGAGTTTATCATGTGGGCGTTTGCTCAGGAATGTTGTCGAAGCGAATGAGGAGTTAGATTTACCTGTCTTAAATGTGAACGTAGACCAATAATTAGTGACCCGGAGAAAGTAGCACGTCATTTGCATAGAAGGGGTTTCATTGAAAGTTATTGTGTTTGGGCGTATGATGGTGAAGAAATGCCGAGTAACGTACCTGAGACTAGCAACACATATGCTTCAAGTAGTCGACCACCTATCGAATTTGAGGAAAACTTTAATCTGATCGGTCAAATGGCTGAGGATGCTTTTGGTGTGAATGTGATATATGATCAACCTGAAGATTTTGACGGGGAAGAGTTGTCGAATGAGGAAGCGCAAAGATTTTATCAGTTGTTGAATGATATGAATACGCCTTTGTTTGAGGGGTCGTCGGACTCAAAGTTATCAATGTGTGTGAGATTATTGGCCGCCAAGTCAAATTGGAATGTTCCTGATCAATGTTTAGAACATTTCTCAAAAATGATGTTGGACTCCACCGCAACGAAAGACAACTTGCCTACAAATTTTTATGATGCAAATAAGTGGGTGTCAAAGTTGGGTTTAAAAGTAAGAAAGATTGATTGTTGCATTAGTGGTTGCATGTTGTTTTATGATAATGAGTTTGGTACTCAAGATGGATTGTTGGAGGAATGCAAGTTTTGTAAGAGTCCGGGATATCAAGTTCGCAGTAGAGCCATTAACAGCAAACAAAAGCGTGTAGCAGTAAAGTACATGTTTTATCTCCTGATAATACAAAGGTTAAAAAGAATGTTTGCTTCAATGCACAGTGCAAGTCAAATGACATGGCATCATAAAAATCAAACAAGTTCAGGCACTATGCGACATCCATCTGATGGCGAGGCATGAAAGCACTTTGATCAGACACATCCTGATTTTACCGCAGAACCTAGAAATGTCAGGCTTGGATTATGCTCTGGTGGTTTTGCCCCATATGTGCAAGCGTCGAGAAGTGTGTATTCTTGTTGTCCAGTTATTATAACTCCTTACAATCTCCCTCCTGAGATGTGCATGAAAAAACCATACATGTTTTTGACGTGCGTCATTCCAGGGCCTTCCAGTCCAAAAGTCGGAATCGATGTGTAGTTACAACCTTTAATTGATGATTTGAAGAGGTTTTGGATTGGAGAATAGACTTATGATATATCCTGTAAACAAAACTTTACTTTGCGAGCTGCCTTGATGTGGACCATTAATGACTTTCCAGCATATGGCATGTTGTCTGGTTGGGGTACGCATGGCAAAATGAGTTGTCTGTATTACATGGCATACACCAAAGCGTTTACGTTGGATAAAGGGGGGAAAAGCTCGTGGTTTGACTGTCACCGCAGATTCCTACCAACAAATCATCCATACAGAAGAAAAAAGACAAA